AGTCGGAGTATATATATTATATTTAGTGTTCTGTCTGACGACAGGTCCATATGAACAGGATCCTTCCATCCTTTTCTCCGACTGGGACCTGTTCATATACGTTCTTGGCAGATGATCCAGAAGTGGTTTGCCATTGCCTTCTTCTGTGTGTGAATGGAGTAATTGTTGGGATGCCACGGAGGAAAACTCCGTGTTGCCTAGACCACGGCCTTGCCCAACACAAGTTATAAATTCGGGCACCGCCGGGAATCGAACCCGAGACCCCAGGATTACAAGGCCAGCGTTATAACCGCTAGATCACCGTGGCCATCAAAGTCGGAGTATGTGAGCTTAATTTAGCTCAGAATAAATATGACTGGATTTTAGGAAGCTGCATCGAACAGTCTGGTAGACATTGAGCGACGTTTCAGAGAAGTTTGCATAGCTCTGATGACAGAAAGAGTAGACTCTTCTTAAACGTCTGTCAATATCTACCAGCTGTCACAGCGTACAACAAACATCATGTTTCATCGCCGGGAGAATCTGAAATCTCACCTGTTTCAAGTAACGTAAGCGATGGTGTCTAATTTAAGGTACAACCCGACATTTATCTGAAGAGACTAAGGAAACCCATGTAAATATTGAGTACAGCTGGTTTCTACGCCGGGATGTGAAACCGGGACATTCTGAATACGAAGCTAATCACTCAAACGCGACGTTCAGTAAACACGAGGGCCTGGAACTGAAGTCAATAGAAGTAGACGCCTACGTATGCTCTGGTGGGTGATAGAAATGGATCTGACTTGTACGCCTCCTAAAAGCAACCAGAGTTCTTCCCACAGAATCTGCCACCTGCTGTGAAGTCCCGTTCAGCACATCACACGGTGCTTCTTAACGACATTCAACTTCAGAATGTAGACGGACCTCGCTAGCCGCACTGTTCACATCCTAACAGCTGTTCCTATAGACTTCTCTCCGTTCTTGTCTGTAAAAACCTGATCCGGAAATGTTCCGTTGGACCTTTCTCAAAAACCCCATCTCAGACACTTTCTTAACCACACAGGTAAAATGATGTCGAATGTAGTCCGAAGATGGCTGTCCCCTGGATGGGTT